ACACGTACAGCCGCAACTTTAAACTTGCTGATCGATAAAGTCAATATTCGCTCCGACAAAGGCAGGCCGGCCCAGCTGTCCGAAACTTCTGCAAACCTACAACTTTATTCCTATGAACAGATGCTGAACTCTAACTTAGTGTTGAAACAAGCGAACTTGCCGAAAACCTGGTGTATATTGTGTGTGTGTGTGTGTGTGTGTGTGTGTGTTGGCCATGTCGTATGTGGCACTCGCAGAAGGGCTATGTAGCCGTGCCAGCCACTTACACCCAGTCTTCTCGCTGGATGACTGAGCAGCTCGCCAATGAGCTGGTCTCTGAGAGAGCGAAGAAAGAATTAGGTCGGCTCTGGCGGCCCTGCCTCTTATGCCCTCAGCATGTATTCCTCACTATAAAAAGGCCAATTGCCCCCCATCCTTCTTGACTGCTGTTTCTAACCCCTTGACAACCTGCTGACTTCTGACAGTTGATTGGCCTATGACCACTATAATTACCCCTCCTATTGGATGCTACTTCTCATCTCTAAAGATGGACTCCTGTAAGAGGTCGAAAGCTGAGGACAATAAACCAATTGATCCGGTGCTCGACACGTCTTCTTCCTTGTCTAGACAAAAAACACTTAAATCTATCACGGTGTGCTAGAAGCCGTGGTCTGAAAGGTTACCAACTGAGATAATAACTCGGTTCTTACCTCAGGTCGAGTACCTGTGTGGCCTCCTCTTAAAATAACCCCTACGAAACTCTCCCTTAGTTGGCATCCGAGTCACTAACTCCTGGACCATTGCGTGCGGATCAGATGAAAGTAGAATACACAGACGGGCTGTCCGGCTCTGTCAATCACTGCACCCGATCCCGCTTCCAGTCTTCTTGACTCTGGACACTGGGTACAGGTGCGTAAGGTAGGCGAGAGTGTGGCGTATGCCCTGAAAGTCTACCATCACCATAAACTAATTCACTCACAAGTCAGCTTCTCTGCAGCTACCCCGCTGTGCGCACATCGTCAGCAGATACGGCCTAACTATCATTGCTTACAAGTTTTCTTCAGTTGTTTTCCTCAGATTTTAACACTTGCTTCAGTTTCAAAGACCTCGGAAATCGTGCTGACTGGCGATGGAGGCTTCAATACTTTTCACACGTTCGCTCGATATGCTTTTTATTAGAAGCCATAGTAGATGTTACCTAAATATAAGCCCAAAACTTTGGGAATTTTTGTGCCTTAGAGAGTTTTTCGTTACGTCTAATGAAAGGCATAATAAAACAGAAAGAAACAAACATGATGAAGTCATTTTTTATGAGAAGCCTTGGATTTTATGAGATAACGGTGTGCAAGAAGGTTTCTTTCACTTCAACTAACACGAGCGTTTAAGTGGAAGGCATTCGCTCGGAAGATAGAAAATAAAACACATAGGCGGAGTACTCCACTGTTAACCGAGAGTAAAACGCGCTTTTAATAGCTGCTACTGGACGGCTTGTCTTAACTTATTCATTTTTCACCCAACGTGCTTTTTCTTTGCAACCATACGCGAGCTAGCGGTACAAAGAGGGAGATCTGTCCTTTCGATAAGCTTGTGTGATTGTTTTATTATATGAAGGTTGTTGTGCTTGTAGGGAGAAGAAGACACACACTTGATTACTTTATTTAAAAAAATGTTAAACATTAGGTGGATATTATTGTCGGCAAAAACAAGGGAACCTGGTTTATTAGCCTTCGTCAGCCGGTCATACCTAGCCCCAAGTGGTGTGCTAACTGAGGCTCGAACTCGCGACCTTTTTGATCACAAGTCTAACGCCCTAACCATTGTGCCACGAGCTCGTTGTCTTGCTCGTTAAGGT